GGTATACCAGCCCGATGGACCCGCCTGGTTTTGCCACGTGCGTTGTATTCCTACCCCGAGCCCCCTTCCTGCGAATACCGCGTTCCGCTCCCATCCCTCCCCCTTTCCAGCCGTCCCCCCTTCCACTGTTCCAAGGGCTGCACCAATTACGCGCAGCAGGTAAGGAAGATATGCCCCAGAGGGGGTACGATCGAAGACGAAGAGGGAGTATAACAAAGGTTTGGGGCATATGTGTTGCGTGGCGCTCGGGCAGGTAGGAGCGAACAGTCTTAAGCTAAATGTTGTTAATGTTATTGTTGTTGTTGCTGTTGCCGCTGTTGTGTTCTCATTCATTAAAAAGGGATGGTGTTGATCCCCCCTCCGATAACCATGATGTCTTTCAATTCGTGTGCCCCTTTCAGGGGCCCGCACCCTGTTTTGAAAAGGGACAACGTGCGGTCACCAAGCTGCGTCGTTGGGACCCGAGCTACAACAACAATGCCTCCCGCCTGCTTCTTCACAAGTTATTCCAACATCGCGCCCTTGCGCAGACATCCCTCGCAATGTATACAGGAATCACTGTCTCGCGTATGAATACTTCTCTCGTGCTCCACCCTCCTCCCTCCCCCTTGTCCTTTCCTTCCATCCGTCCTCCGTTCCCCTGCCTGAAGGGCTGCGCGAAATACGCGGTGCAGGCAACGAGATGTTTTCCCATTTTTCAAAGGTTTGATCGAAGACGAAACAAACGTGTATCGAGGGCTTGGGATATAGTTGAATGGCACGCGAACAAAAAAAACAATATTTACATGATTGCTGTTGTTGTTGTTGTTGAACCCATCACGTCTAAAACTAAATATTATTAATCCACCCCGCCCGGGGCACCTTGCAATGTTCAAGTGAAGTGCCTTTCCCGGGACGCGAACCCTGTTGAACTGCCGCCCCGGCCCCCGTGTTACAACAACAACATCAACAACAACGGCTCCCGTCTTACACTTCCTCACAATGTATTGAAACATTTTGCACTCTCGCGCGGGACTTCCCCACAAGTTATGCAAGAATCGCGCTCTCGCGTGGACTTCCTCGCAATTTATTCAGACTCCGCACCCTCGACACTCTGGAATCACGCTCTCGCTGTGGATTTCCTCACGATGTATGTGGGAATCGCGCTGTCGCTCGAGACTTGCTCGCGATTCATGCAGGACGCACGCTTCAGCAACCCGCCTGCTCGACCTGGCCCCCTGGGCCCGCCTTCCCGACACACCCGCGACCCGTCTACCCGCCTGATCTGCCCGCCTGGTTCTGCCACGTGTCTTCGGCTCCGGGCCCCCCCTCCTGCGAATTTCTCTCCCGTGCTCCATCCTCATCCCTCCCCCTTCCCCTTCCCTTCCATCCGTCCTCTCTTCCCGTGTGTGACAGGGGCTGGTCGGGTCGGTCCGCGGCCGCCCCGCCGATCAGCGCTGCCCGCTGGCCAGGCCGACGGTCCGCGGCCGCCCCGCCACTTGCCGGGGCCCGGTCTGCAGCGAAGAAAAGCATACCCCCCAAAAGGGGTTCGATTGAAGACGAAGAAGGCGGGTATCGAGGGTTTGAGAAATACGCGTTATTGGACACTCGAGCAGATTAGGGCGAACAGTCGGAAAATTCGTAGAATTGTTGTTGATGATGATGGTGGTGGTGTGGTTGTTGTTGTTTAGGCTCTGCCTAGAAGGGTTCTTACTTTCTGTGCTTAAAGGGGCCCGGCAGTGGGAACCGGCCCGGGCGGTTCCCCCGGCATCCGCCCCGCGGTTCCCCCAGTTACGTCCCCTTAGCTTAGCGTTGCCCGTCTCATCTTAGCTTAGCTTATTTCGTCTTAGCATCGTAGCTTAGCTTAGCTTAGCTTCGCATAGCGCAGCGCTGCATAACATAGCACAACATAGCATACCATAGCCAAGCATAGCAAAGCAAAGCATAGCGCAGCTTATCATATCATATCATATCATAGCTTATCCTAGCACATCGCAGCATTATATATGATATCTTAGCATATCATAGCATAGCATAGCGTAGCACAGCATAGCGCAGCATAGCATGGCCTAGTATGGCATAGCATAACAACTAATGTTGATTTCCTAAGGGCTGCAACTTCTAGGTCGGGTCGCACTGGGGTAATGTTGTTGCTGGCTTCCTATTCCTAAATACTAAATTCTTATACGCACCTCCCCGAGGGAGTAGAGCTCAGAGGCGATTGATGCGTACGAGGGGCGCCGCGTTCGCGATTTTTTCTCGCCGTTTCGCTAAAGACATCCTCGGAATTCTGAAAACCGGTGGCACCCCTCACGCAGATCGTGACGTCAGGGTCCAAAACACACACGGGAATTTCAACACTCGATCGTAAAATCTCCAAAAACGCATGGTAATTTCAACGATTTTGTCCCCGATTCTCAGAGAATGGCGATTTCGCCTGAGACATCTTCCCAACATCGAGCCCCGACGTACCTTCTGGTACCCCAGACCCCGCCTCGGAGCCTCTTGGGAGCCTCCTGGAGCCTCCTGGGGCCTCCTGGGGCTTTCTGTACCTTCTGGTACCCCAGACCCCGCCTCGGAGCCTCCTGGAGGTCTCCTGGAACCTCCTGGGGCTGGAGCCTCTTGGGGCCTCATGGAGCCTCCTGGGGTCTTCTGGGGCCTCCTGAGGCCGCCTTGGGCCTCCTGGGGCCTCCTGGTGCCTCAGAACTACATGCACACACAGAGACACAAATCACACCCAACACATCACACGCTAGACAAACATAACACACACAACACCTTCAACGCACAGAAAACACCCACAACACAGAGCACACATCACACACACACAACACTCACAATCCCGGGGCCTCCTGGAGCCTCTTCCGGTATCCAAGTCGGGCCTCCTGAGGTTTCCTGGGGGGCCCTGGTGCACACATCGCAAGGTGTGGCAACCCCACTTGCGCTCGAGTGCGACCTCGATCTTACATTATTCTGCGTTCACCTCCTGCCTCTTCCCCTTCTCTTAGGCACGCCCTGGCGGCGCCGCCCCAGCTTCCCCTTCTCCATCTCCGATCGTGCAGTCATGGTGTCTTCCTGCTTCAAACGCCCTTTCAGTTTTTTGTATGAGCCTGGGCACACACGTGCCACTTGTATTGACAGTCCCCTCTCCAGCAACCATTGTACATCTTTCAATTGAATTGCTTCTCCCGGGGCTCGCGCCTTATTTTCACAAGGGAAAAACAAATGTCACCAAACTATGGTGTTCGGCCCCTGCTTATAGCAACAACAACAACAACAATTACTAGCACGTGGGGACACACCGTTCTCACCAGTGCCAGGGTTTTCATAGGAGGCGGGCAATACCCCCACTTTGTGGGGGGGCCGGTTCAAGCTCTACCAAATTTCCAAACGACTCTTCGCCACCACCCACACCCAGCTTCCCGCCCTATGACGTTCGGACACTTCACTTCGTGGCATGCGGACGACCGTGGCTACTATTCAGGGCCCCGCGGCCGACGACGACGGCGTGCGCGCGCGAAGAAAAAACGAATGTGTCCCGCATGGTATTATTTGACAGGGATGATGGCCCTGGCAGGTGCGCAACCGTTGTTGCAGAAGTTCGAAAAAGTTGCTCGCAAAAGCCCGTTTGACAGAAATGATTAAAAAGTGTTGGGTTTCCTACGAATCCGCAAGAGCGCGCGGGATGAAATTTTGACATTTTTTTTTGAAAAACCATTGGTTTTTTATGTTTTTATGTTAAAATCGCTACGAAAACTAAGGTTTTGGAAGGATTTCGTCTTGCGCGCGCGAATGTCCACTTTACCTTATTTTTTGCAAGGGATTCTTGAAGTTTGGTTATGTTAGAACAAGAAATGTCCACTTTAGCTTATTTTTTGCAAGGGAAAACCGATCGTAACAACACAACCGGATCCGGACCAACCCGTTTTGCCTGAGACTTCCTCACGAAAATTATGAAAATGAGGCTGCGGCCTAGGCGCGGCGGGGGGGTCGTGCACCAGGGGTCCCAACAATAATTATTCTTTAGAAGTAATAATGTTCAACAACAACAACAACAACAACAACAACAACAACGGCACCCGCCTGATACTTTGTCACACATGATTTCCAAATCAAGCTCTCGCGCGGGACCGCCACTCAATTTATACAGGAATCGCGCTCTCGCGCGGGACGTCCTTGCAATTGATTCAGACGCCGCGCCCTCGATTCTCAGGAATCACGCTATCGCTGTGGATTTCCTCACGCTTGATTTGGAAATCGCGCTATCGCTCCAGACTTCCTCGCGATCGATGCAGGACTCAGCTTCAGGAGCCCGCCTGCTCCTTGTTCCTTCCTTTCATCCGTCCTCTCTTCCCCTGCCTTAGGGGCTGCACGAAATTCACGGTGCAGGAAAGAAAGATATACCCCCAATGGGGGTACGATCGAAAACGAAAAGGGCGCGTATCGAGTTATCGAGGGTTTGAGATGTACGTTTTGAATGGCACGCGAGCAGATAAGAGCGAACAGTCTTAAACTGATTGGTGCTTTAGTTGATGTGGTTGTTGCTGTTGTTCCCATGTTCGGCCTCTGGGGGCCCTCGCGGAGCCCCGGGGCCGTCAAAATGACGAGTCACGCCTGTCCTGGGGAATGGGTCGAGACCTCTGGGGGTCGACGCAGTAGCACACAATCATGACGTCGGGATTAAGGGAGCATGGCGAAGGCTGGGTCAGCGAACCACCTCGCGCAGCTGGCACCAGGTGCCGAGGCCAGCTGCATTGCATGCAGCAATTGTCGCCCCTTCCCCTTCCCTCCTCCTCCTCCTCCTCCTCCTCCTCCTCCTCCTCCTCCTCTTTCTCCTCTTTCTCCCCCCCCCCCCCTCCCTCCTCCCTCCTCCTTCTTCCCCCCTCCCTCCTCCTCCCTCCTCCTCCCTCCTCCTCCCTCCTCCTCCCTCCTCCTCCCTCCTCCCTCCCTCCCTCCCCAACCCTCCTCTTCGTCCGACACGATCCTCGAACGGCTCGACGGTGTCCAAGAATACATGCCGCCACTGCGAGTCGAAGTCGAACGAGAAGGGGACGCCATGGCCGCGCCGCAGGTGGACGACAAGCAACACGAACAAGGAGATGGCGGGTCCCTTGCTGCCACTGTCCTGGAAGAACACTGTCCGCGCTTTGTCGCACACGAATCGGCAATGCTCGATCATGCGGAGCGAGGTTGCGACCGGGTCGGCGTGTATGAGCAGGAAATGCTTGCCTCCAGCCGCGGCGCTTCTGCTTGCTCCCCCTGAGTAGAAGCGGCGGACCGCCTTCTCAACGTCCTGGCTGGACGAGAACTCGTGCAGCGACACCTCCGAGCAGTTGGAGCCTGGCACCGCCGTCCCCAGCTGTGCTCGCACGGCCCCGCGCAGAGGGCTGTACGTCATGATCATCACCTGCGCGCCCATGCTGTCGCACCACATTGCGCTGTCCTCAAGCAACCGCGACGCGAAGCTCGGGAGGTCCGTGTGCTGCTGCTTGTCGAAGTATTCGGTGACCAGGTTGAACCCGAACTTGTGCTGCATCTGACGCGCGTCGTGCCTGGCGGCCACGATGCAGATGGCCTCGGGAGTCATCACCCATGCCAGCAGCCTCTTGGCCTCCCCGAGGAGCTCGTCTATGCTTCGCTCGCTGCCCGAGCTGCCGCGCTTGAGCGCGAAGACCAGCGAGCTCAGCAGCTCACGGTGGTGGCCCACCACGACGCAGACCTGGCCCCCGCCGGCCTCCGCGGCCTCGCTGGGCTGCTCCTCCCCAGCGGCAGCCCCCCCGGCACTCTCGAGCACGGCGGAGGCCAGCAGCTCCCAGAACCTCTGGAGCTGGCTCAGCAAAGCCTCATCCGGCTTCGTCATCAGGTCCCTGCGGACGAAGATCTGCTTCTCGAACCGGTTCAGCAGGGGTGGCGCCAGCCTGAAGTATGCATCGCTGATTTCAGTGATCACGACCACGCGGAAAAGATGGTGAATAGGGCATTGCTTCGCCTTTGATCCGTGCGCGATCCGCACGTACCGCTGGCCCGCGTACTCCATGTAATGCTGGTTCAGGAGGTCGTAGAGTGATTCATACAACAGGTCGCAGTGTACCAGCACCAGCGATATTGGCTGCATCATGAACGTCTTGATCTTCTGTAGATTCATAGCCACCACCACGTCGCTCTGATCGTCAGGGAAAGTGCTACCGAACATCACTTCCGACCTGATATTTGGAGGTGGCATGGGGGTTCTGAACTGGTTGGGCCCCCAATGAATCAGTCAGGAGGGGGGGGTGAAACCAGACCCGCTCAAAATCGGTCCCCGTAACCATCCCGCCATCTGGTACAACTCTTCGCCCGGGATCTGTTTCTCACTGCCCTGGGGCCCGGAAAGAAGGCTCCTGGAGGTCGACAGAGGCAGCACACCTTCCGAACCCAACACCTAAAACAGGGCCAGGATCGGTATAAATCGCTCCGGAGCGTTCCGGAGCGCTCCCAGAGCGTTCCGGAACGCTCTGGAGCGGCCGCGGCGCCCAACACATCCTCCAAACCCGCCGATCCTCAGAGATCTCGAGTTATCCCGATCCGATTGTGCCCCGATCTTCGCGTCGTTTTAGCACCTCTGCCCTGCCCGCCCTGCTTGCTGGCCGGCACCGGAACGGGGCCAACCCGGGCCCCGAGGCGGCTCGCACGGGTCGGGACAGGGGTCTGGCACTGCACCCTCGGCCCCGGCGGAGCGCTCGGCACAGCCGTTGCGGGGTTCTGGAGCCCTCTCCTCCTCCTCCTCCTCCTCCTCCTCCTCTCTCCTCCGCCTCCTCCTCCTCCCCCTCCTCCTCCCCCTCCTCCTCCTCCTCCTCCTTCTCCTCCTCCTCCTCCTCCTCCGACCTGCTGTGATCGCACAGGCGGCTGTCGAACAGCATGCGGAGCGCGGCGTTGTTCTTGGTCAGCAGCATGAGGTGGCGAGCCTCGGGCTCCCGCAGGTTCTGGCCCACGAGCTCCAGGGTCGTGAAGCGCGGGACGTGCCGCTCCTGGGGAACGCATTAAAAAGGGTACGGTGGGGGCAGCTTTGTCTCTCTTCGCGGCCGAGGCCTTGTAAATTCGCATGCATGAGGAGGCCCGCGCACGGGCCGACGCCGTCGCCGCCCGCGCGAGGCGAACCGCCGCCCCACGGGCTCTGGCCTCAGCCGCCGTCGCAAAGCCGTGCGCGGGGGGGGCATTGGACAAGGATTTTTTTAATTAGGCAGCATAGAGGACCACTTCGTGAAATATTCATCTGCTCGTGATAAGTACGTATACTACACTCGAGAGCTAACAGGTCACTAGTGCCTCGCTGTCACGCCGCAGAGCGTGATCCCACAATGGGTAGTATGCAGTCCCCCCGATGAGAACTGAGAACGGGGCTCCGAAACTCGAAAGCAAGATCCGGGGTCCGAAACTCGAAAGCAAGGCAACATTGGATAAGGAATCCGGGGTCTGGAAGCCGGTGGAACTCCACTCGCGGACTGGCCACGGACATCACCGCCGCCCTCGTCAGAGAAGGAACCCTCCAGGGTCTGCAGCCTCCCGTACACCCTCCTGAGCCAGTGCGGGAGCCGCTGCTCCCCGGCCCTCTCCTGGAGTGCGTTCTGGCCAGGACTTCGAGGCGAACCCCACGGTGGCGACGACGGGGGCCCAGGAGGCCCCCAAAAAGGGAAAACGAGGGGAGGGTACAGTGCCGTTTTTTTTTATACATACTCCGCGTGCGGATCATGTAGTAAAAATGCGGGGAGTTAGTATTAAAAACAAAGATGAGTTCATGCATGAATTTATTCAAAAATTGATCATGGATTAAAGATAATATATGTTTAGAATCCCATACATATATATATATATATATATATATGCCCTGTAGAGGCATGGGTACCTGTTCCTCCTCTGAGCTCCGACATGCCCGTGTGCCCGAAGAACTTGCGGACGCAGGCGTCGAGCTCGGAGGCCGGCCGGCCGCCGAAGTTCCGCTGCACCGTCCGCAGCAGCACCTGCGGCTCCAGGGCCGCCTCGCCGCCGCGGGCGGCGCGGTCCCGGAGCTCCGCGTGGACGACCCGCACGGTGCTGTAGAACTCGCGCATGCCCCAGAAGTCGGGGCGCCCCTGGGTCCTGCCGGAGAAGCGAGGGCGGCACGAGCATCAACCTCTGGAGGGCCGCGCGGACTTCCCGAGTCTGCGCCGAACGCCCCCCCCCCCTCCGCGGCGCGCGGAGCGCGCCAGGGGCGGCGCCGGAGGCGCTGGCAGGGGGGGGGGTCCCAGCGCAGAGCCAAGGGAGCCGCGCGGAGCTCCGAACGATGTGATCGCATGCTGTCCTCCTGCAGTCCTGTACACGTCGAAGAACGCCTCGGAGAGTGCCTTCAAGTAGCCCCGCAAGTTGGCGGAGGCCACCATGCCCTCGGCCGTGACCCGCAGGTCCTCCACGGTGGCGGGCGGGCGGTAGAGCGTCACGAAACGGCTCATCTTGGCCGCGTCCAGGGACCAGTTCGAGATGCCCACGCAGGCAATGCCCTGCAGGTCCTCGAGCTCGCGGTGCAGCACCTTCAGGGGCAGGTGCGGGGACTCCTCCGCCAGCCCCACCTCGTCCAACAGCACGCACACGATGGTGCTCTTGTGGCCTTGGGTAGGGCCGGGGCGCCTACTCTGGAGGGCTCCCCGTGTGGCGTCCAGTATCTCCCGCTTCTTTCCTCCCTGTCCTCATCTCGTCTTGCTCCTCTCCTCCTCCTCCTCCTCCTCCTCCTCCTCCGCCTCCTCCTCCTCCTCTTCCTCCTCCTCTAGCCGAGGTCGGACGGGCACGCCGACTGGAATACTCACTGTGCGGCATCCAGCACGGCTCGTCTTTATCCTTCTCCTCATCCTGCCTCCTCCTCCTCCTCCGCCTCCTCCCCCGTCCTCCTCCCTTTTCGTCCTCACCCATTCGGCCTAGGTTGGACTGCCGCGCCGACTCGAAAGCTCCCAATATGGCTTCTGGGGTGGACAGCGGAGAACACTGGTACGGGAAAACGTCAACGGCGGGCATGGACTTGAAGAATTCCTTCGGAAAGAAACAGGAATGCACAATGAAACCAGACACACGCACTCATGCTTACACGCATTTCGGCGACTCCCTCCTCATCCTCCCCCGCCAACGTGTCAACACATGCACAAGGCATCAGCCACCGTGCTTCCAAGATGTAGTACAGTGCCCCAGGGCTCATGAAGTCCTGAGAGGTGTCAACATCGTTTTGCGAGGAACACTGTAAAGCTGATGAGTCCCCGACGCTCATCAGGGCCCGGACCGCAAACTTCCCAGAACTCCTCGGCGTTTCTGGGCGTTTCTAGGGTTCCTCGCCTGGGCCTCCGGGACGGTGACCCCGCTCAAAAAACCATCCTAGGAACGCTAAGGCTTCCTGAGAAACGCCCAAGAGCGTCCAAGACGGCTCCAGAACGCGCCAACACTAGCCTCGATGCCCTCCAGCCCAAGGGGCCCTCGAGAAGCGCCTAGAAGGCTCCAAGCGAACTCCCACAAGGGCACCAAGAGATCACACTCATATACATATATAACTATATTTACATAACGTATACATATATACATACATGTTTGAAATTCGGTACCATATATATATATATATATATATACTAGAACCACGCGCGCGCTTCGCGCGCGCTTAGGTTCTGTCGAGTCACAGACCCAAGAATCGTTGTGAGAAGAAATTGGTGACGCGAAGCGTCGTGGGGGCGTCCTTGGACGTCTGGGGTCTCCTGGGGCCTCTTGAGGGGCCTCCTGGGGGCCTCCTGGCGGCCTCTTGGGGCGGAAGGCTCGAGCTTGCGGTTCGTGGTCCCCCTCTGGGCCCCCTCTTGGGCCCGTCTTGGGGCCCTCTTGGGCCATCTTGGGCGCCTCTTGGGCCGTCTTGGGGCCCTCTTGGGCTGTCCTGGGGCCCTCTTGGAAGCTTCTTGGGCCGTCTTGGGGCGGTCTTGGGCGCCTCTTGGGCCGTCCTGTAACGTCGGAAAGCCCAAAAGACAACTTTGTTGAAAATGTACGTTTTACGAAGGGAATGGGCCAATTTTGCGTCTAGGGGCCCTCTTGGGACGCATGTTGGAGGCTTCTTGGGGCCTCTTGGGGGCGTCCTTGGACGTCTGGGGTCTCCTGGGGCCTCTTGAGGGGCCTCCTGGGGGCCTCCTGGCGGCCTCTTGGGGCGGAAGGCTCGAGCTTGCGGTTCGTGGTCCCCCTCTGGGCCCCCTCTTGGGCCCGTCTTGGGGCCCTCTTGGGCCATCTTGGGCGCCTCTTGGGCCGTCTTGGGGCCCTCTTGGGCTGTCCTGGGGCCCTCTTGGAAGCTTCTTGGGCCGTCTTGGGGCGGTCTTGGGCGCCTCTTGGGCCGTCCTGTAACGTCGGAAAGCCCAAAAGACAACTTTGTTGAAAATGTACGTTTTACGAAGGGAATGGGCCAATTTTTGCGTCTAGGGGCCCTCTTGGGACGCATGTTGGAGGCTTCTTGGGGCCTCTTGGGGGCGTCCTTGGACGTCTGGGGTCTCCTGGGGCCTCTTGAGGGGCCTCCTGGGGGCCTCCTGGCGGCCTCTTGGGGCGGAAGGCTCGAGCTTGCGGTTCGTGGTCCCCCTCTGGGCCCCCTCTTGGGCCCGTCTTGGGGCCCTCTTGGGCCATCTTGGGCGCCTCTTGGGCCGTCTTGGGGCCCTCTTGGGCTGTCCTGGGGCCCTCTGGGAAGCTTCTTGGGCCGTCTTGGGGCGGTCTTGGGCGCCTCTTGGGCCGTCCTGTAACGTCGGAAAGCCCAAAAGACAACTTTGTTGAAAATGTACGTTTTACGAAGGGAATGGGCCAATTTTTGCGTCTAGGGGCCCTCTTGGGACGCATGTTGGAGGCTTCTTGGGGCCTCTTGGGGGCGTCCTTGGACGTCTGGAGGCCATCTTCAGCATCTCGGAGCCCTCTTGGAGGCCTCTTGGAAGTTTCTTGGATCGTCTTGGGCGCTCCTGGGGCCGTCTTGTCTGACCCGGGAGGCCTCCGGCAAGCCCCGACGAACCTCTGGGCCCCCCGGGGTGCACATTTGTGGTCGAGGTCCCGGCCCCGGGCCCCCGGACCCGGTGCGCCGTTATATGTATATATGAATTGTCCTTTCGCTTTTGATTGATTCTACCGTTCTCGCCTGCTGGGACTTCCGACGCTCCAAGACGGCCCAAGGGGCCCCAATGGTCGTGCCACGAACGCCCAAGAAGCCTCCAAGAAAACTCCGAGACAACCTGTGAGGCCCCCAAGACGGCCCCAAGGGGGGTCCCGAGAGGGGGAATTCATACTCACATTTCGCACTCTCCGCCCCAAGATGACACCCGAGACCGCCAGCAGGCCGCCGAAGGGCCTCCCAGAAGCCCCAGGACGCCACCCAAAGGGTCAAATCAGGCCGCAAGGGGCTCCGAGAAGGCCCCGAGAGGCTCGAGACACACCCGGAAGCGCCTCCAAGGGGCTTCTGAGAGACCTCCTAAGAGATCCCCACAGGCACACACCATGCCTCTCGCCTACAATCTAGGCACGATGGCGGGATGAGCCGAAGGACAATCGATAGAATCGCGTCTGCCGCGTCTTTCAAACTCTGCAGATCCTTGCTTGACACCTGGCCGTTGAGATTGCTCTGCAGGATCCCCATTGCCAGGCTCTTCGAGCACCCTGGCTTCCCGATCAGCAGGATGGGGATCTGGTTCATGACGCTGACCTTCACCTCCTTCTTTCCTCATCCTCTCCTCAGCCGTCTCCTTATACTCCTATTTCCTACAGGGGCAAATATTAAACACATCGCACTAGTATTCCACCTGCCCCCTAGGCGTAGGTGCACGAGGGAATTCGTTCTTCCAACCCCACCTCTTCCCCTTTGGGGAGGCGTTTATTACTGTTCGGCTTTCAAGGTTGCCAAGGACGCCCCCCACAGAGCCGCAAGACAGGCCCGACGGCTCCCTATAATGGGCGCCCATGAGGGCTCCGACAGGGCTCGAGGACGCCTCCAACAGGCTCCTACACCGAACTATCCACGAAAGGCATGTCTGGTTGGCTCCTAGGCATGGTCAAGCTGATCCCGAACTCCGGCTTGACGGCCACCCCCCTTCTGGTTGCACTGCCTGCTCGTGCATGTCCCTGGTCACCGCACCTCGCCTGGGCACCGTGTCTAGGTGGGCTGATGAGCATACGCAAAGCGCTAGCCACTCCTCATACCTTGCTGGCGGGGTTATGGCTGCGCGCCGCTTTTATGATCCCCACCAGCAGCATGAACAGGTTCTCTCTCAGGGCCTCGTTCAGGGCAATGCCCTCGCCCAGCTCCATCTGCGAGACGAACTCGTGCTGCGTCTCCACCATCTTGGCCTGGAGGTCGCTCGGGGTGCTCAGGTCCAGCCACAACCCACCTCGGGGTAGCAACCAACGATTATGTTTCCAGTCAGGCCTAGACTATAATACCATCCTTCAAGAATACTAGACCACCAAAACAGACATAAAATCCAAGGGTACCCTCCCCAAAATGCACAATACCATCCAACAAACAAGCACGGCAAACACTATAGTACCCGCTCCGAACCGACTTCGACCTTACACCTCGGTCCGACTGTATGAGTATGATTGTGGTGGAGGCGGACATGCAACAGTATAATCTTACAAAAACAGGCAAGGTCCAGCTGAGATCCGCCTGTAAGGACGACGCGCCACAACACCAGCATCAACAACGCCCGTGTCCGTTGACCTCTTCCACAATGATCCAAGAAGAGGAACGGTATACTGACGAACAGGAAGAATCGGATCAAGAAGATGCTGGCTGATACAACGTGGAGGAGGATCGGGAGGTGTTCGAACTGTTCCCGCCTCGGGCCAATCGGTGGTGCGATGTTTGTCTTCCCTACGGCACTGTCGCAGCCTGAGAGCTCGCCGAATCTGCGGGCGATCGGCGGAACCGCCACCGCGCACTCGCGAAGTGAGGACGAAACGGTCTGATGTTGCGCGTGACCGGCCGCACGGAGACACGATCGAACAGTCGGCCCACAGCAGGAGGGTCCCCCTATGCGGAAACGGGAGGGAAGGAAAGAAAGCGAGAGAGAGAGAGAGAGAGAACGACAGCGAGAGCAGGCTGGAGGCGATCATTATTCAAACTCCTGGCATTATCGCTGCCCCGCCTCTTCACTGTTTCATGTTTAAGCGCTGAAAACTTCGGCGCGTATGCGGCGCGCGGCCGTCAGGAACGCCGCCGCGAACACAGACACGAAACATGTAACACATTATCGCTGAGGCGGGCGGCAGAAAGTGGTCGTCGGTGGCCGCGCGGCACAATGGAACTGTCGCTGCAAACGGCGCGCGCATCAAACCTCTCGCGTGAGTCCAGGCTGTCCTTTTGGTTCCGTCGGGGAACACAATGTCGGCTGGTATCCAGCGAGAGCGACCGAAGAACAGGCAACCCCTGACGGCATGGCCCATAAAGAAACGTCGCTGTTCCTCCGTTGAAGCGTCGTTGTGGAACACTGCGTCTATGAAGGCTCTGGCAATCGGTAACGTGGCAATGCTCCTAATGACGTGTCGTCGACGGTCAACCTGCGTCCGAAAGGTTCCCCGAAGTATGCGGCGTGAGCCGTCCGGCGTCGATAACCACGCGCGCCTGCGCCAACAGCGTGTTTTTCACCGCGCCGTTGGCCCAACTTGAATTTTGGTCGACCCCAAAAAACTTGTCGTCACCAAATATCCTCGTTTGATCGAGCCACTCAGGTCACGGTAGTGATGGGATCTGGGATTTAGAGAAGCGGCCGCGGATTACAAAAAAAACGCTGTTAGATTTAGTAAACCAGCTTCTGCGTTTACGAAATAATGTTTTGTATTGTTTTGGTTACGCGGCGCAATTTGATACATCCGCTTCTCGCTTTAGTAACTCATCGCTTTCTCGAGCTACTGTTTCAAGCACGCGCGCCCACTCATTACCATGACCTTTGTTCGCAGGTGATAATTGCTCCTTCCCGCCATGGGCCTTTGACGAAGGACCCGTCGGCGCAGGACGCCATGCCCATGTTGTCCAGTCCCAGCCTGGCGGGGTAGAGTATGATTCCGTCGTCGTGCTTCTCCTCGAACTAAAGGATCTGCAGTGCGATGGTCCCCTGTTGGCGAGGCTCGCTCCTGCGCGCGCTTCAAGTTGTAGACGTTAGCGACCCGCGGCGACACTCCTCCGCGCGACTCGAACCCGGAGTTCTGGCCGGAACGACCGCGGTACTTTCCGAAACGTCGCGCGGGGCCGTCCCTGTCTCGAAACCGTCGATGTAGGCGCGCTCCCGCGCCGTGACCTTGCGCTTGAAGTCGTAGATCTGGCAGCCGCAAAAGGGCAGCGCTGCCGACGCGCAGCGCAGTTCGCCGCGCGCAGGAGCCTCGATGCGGAGTTCCTGCTCGAAGCGCGCGCTGAACGTGAAGATCACGAGGCTCGCGTGGAAGATGGCGAAGGCGCGTCGTCGTGCTGGCTGACAACGAAGATAACCATGCGCGACTATCCTTGCAGGCGAACTCGAATAGAGAGTCCGCGGGCCCGCAGACAGCGCCCGCCATCGCGTTGTGGCCCGGTGGGGAGCCGTTCCTGGCGTTGGCGCCCATGCCTCTGATGAAGATCAGCAGGGCCAGCATGAGCGAGGTCCCCAGAATTGTCGGCGAGGTCCCCTTCAGCAGCACCGGGTCGGGGTCAGCGAGACCGATGCCCGCGACGCGGGGTTCGCCTTGACTGAACCCTGGCCCACAAATTGCCGCGGCGGCACTTCCTCGAGCGCAAATCGCGCCATCTACGTCGTGCAAAGTCACGCGAGACTCCCGCGTTCAGCAGTCAGCGGCTCGGCGGAGGTGCAGCGCTGCCAGAGGAGGTGCCACTCAACTCGGCGGCGTACTAGGGAATGTGCTGGACGCGTGGCGGCAGACGCAGGATCCCCCTCCACGGTAGCTCGCGGTCGATGGGCCTTGTGCTCCTTGCGGGCGAGACTGGCGCCCTCTACGTCGTCCAAATACGACCAATTGGATTTGGCGCCTGCTTCGGCCTCCGCGAACTCGTTGAACTCGGCCAGCTGGGCGCCAGCCGACGCCTGATTGGACCGTTCTGTTCTCTGGACCTTCGGCTCGGGGGGGCTTCGCCTTGCGCGCGCCCGCGCCCTAGTCCGAAGCGGCGCGCGTCCCTGTGTCGGAGGCGGGCGTCTGCTCCTTGACCAGCCGCACCTGTGCTTCAAGTTGTGTCTGCGGTGAAGTCTGCGCCTCGAGGTCGCCTGGTCCTCGGTTATCTTCGCCTGCGTGCAATTGGCATGGGCGCGCGCCCTCGCGTAGTCGAACTCGCGCATCTGGCGCGCCCAAGGCCCGTCCAGCCGGAACTGGCGCCGGAGGCGCAGCTGGGGCCGCGGGCACCGGCGGCGGGGGCGGGAATTTCATCGCACCAAGCACGTCCGCCTCGCCTTCTCGTCGGACGGCCGGATCAGCTGGCTCGCCCCCCGGCGGACCACGGGGTCGCCCGTCCGCGCAAATATTTTCAAAAGTTCTTCTCGGCACGCTAGGGCTGCTTGACGTCGACCCGCAGGCGGGGGGCGCAGTCCTCGAGCCCCACTGCCGGCGACGCCTGGCGTTGCCGCCCGGCGCAGGGGCCGCCCTGATCGAGCGCGAGCGACTCGGATGTTCCGAAGGGCGAAGGCCGCGCGACCTGTGGCCCCGCGAGCGCCGACGGCGGGAATGCGCCGGGCACGCGCGCCGCGCGCGGCAAGGCCGCGCCGCGTATGATGCCGCGGGCGATGCGGCGACCGCCGCTGCGCCGCTGTAGCCGTGCAGGTGAAAGAAGTGGGGGGAGGGCCAGATCGATTGAAATCGGCACGCCGCTCGGAGTCGTCCCTCGGTGTAGGTGCCCGCTGGTAGATTGTCGAAAGCGATCTCCCTCTCGGCGACTTCTTCAGGCGGGTCCACGGGCCTCGTGTCGACCAGGGCTCAATCCTCGGCCGGCGGCGCCGCCCTGCCTTCCGAGCCCCGGCGGGGCCGCGCCGTGGAAGACAATTGCGAGCGTGACCGCCGTCGCAGAAAATGGCAAGCTTGACTGGGGCCGAGCCCTCTGGCACGGTTTCGCCGGCCCGCGCCCGGCGTCGGCGTCGGCGAGGCTCCGCCGGTGGATTGTAATCGGCCCTTGGGTGGCTCATTGCCCGCGCGCGCCGAGGAGCCCGCGGCGCCGCCCTTCGGATCGCGGGGTAGATAGGGCGGCCGCGGGCCATCTCCCAGAATTCCTCGCGGCGCGTCTGCGCCGCGCCGCCGATGTCGTTGAGGGCCCGGGCCCGCGACGTCATGTTTTGCTTGTCGCCGTGGTGGGTCGTTGCTGCGGTACACTTCAGCGAAAGCGTCTCGCGGTCAGACCCGGGCCGCCCTCGCCTGCGCCGCGGGGTCCAGCGCTCGGCAGGCGCGGGGGCCAGCTGGCGCCCGCGCCGCGGCGCCGACCATTTCGAAATCGCGCGACTGCGGGCCCGTCGTCTTCCTTGCGCCCTCGACCCTCGCGCGAGCGCGCTGGTGGTCGCGCTTGCGGTTGGGCGACCGAGATCGCTCGCCCCTTCGCGAAACGTTCTGTCGGCTTGTCGGTGGTCTCCGTTTTTTGAAGTCTTGCCGAAAAGGCGCGCCAGACCCAACTTGTATTTGGTTTTCCCGTATACAATGCCTTCCCGACAAGCGTGGCTCTCTCGGGGTTCTCAGCCTGCTACTTGGTCGCCAGGGTGTCGGGTAAGCTCTTTCACTTGATGCGCGCAGTTGAAGAGGCGCCGGCTGGTGCGCGGGTGGACGGTGAATAGCGGCGGCGGCTCCTTTTTCTGCTGATCGATCGCTCAGGCGTCGCGATCGGCCGGCCTCGCGAAGTCCCGTCCCGCGCGGCAGTCCACGCGCGGCCCGTGGCCATCCCGACGTCGGCCGCGCGCTCTGAGGAGAGGGCAGCCCCGGCGCAGACCTCCGCGACGTCTACCGAGGCGTCGGCGAGCGGCCCTCGGACGTCGACCGAGACATGCGACATCCGGACTTTTTCAGGACGGCGCCCCTGGAAGTCCCGACCCTCTCCCCGGGGCCGGGTTGTCGTCCTGAATCGTTATTGGCGGCCCCGCGGGCCCGGCGAGGGCCCCCCGGGGCTGGAAATAACAAAAAACCTCCCGTCCTGATTTTTCCACGGCGCGAGCATGTCTGGGACGCAGACGCGGGGCGCCGCGCCGACGTCAATCGGCCACGTGCAATAGCGACCCTGTGCAAGGGCAGCCTCTGGCGAGCGGCCTGCCGAGCGCTGCGCGCGACGCGACAGCGGCGGCCCGGGCCGAGTGCCCGCTCCGCCTCGGTGCGCGGGCTGTCATCATGGTCGAGCTCGCCGGGCAAGCTGACTGAGGGGCAGCGATAGGGATCGGCTGGCAATTGGGGAGGGATCGACCTGATCTGCGACGTGCCCCAAATTGGAAGTGCGCGCGTTCCCGGGCGCGGGTGGGCCATCGGGCCCCCGTCGGCGATGAATGGGCGATCGGGGTTCGATCGGCGCCCCCCCCCCCCCCCCCCCCCCCCCCCCTTATGCCTGTCCCCCCATATCGCTGCCCCTGAATGACGTCCTCTTTGCGCGCGACCTCCAGGTCCTGAGACGTCGGCCCCCGCGACCCTGGCAGGCATCAGTCCGCGCCTGTCGTCCGTGGCATGCAGGTCTTCGTCGATGGCCCCGGCGTGACGCAGCGCCGCCAAGTGATGGGCGCCCGCCCCCGCGCTCTGCGCGGCGCGTTGTCCGTGGGCCAGGAGGCCGCCCGAGGTTGCGGGCGCGGCGGCCCCTGGGCAACGCCGTCGGCCGCCCAGACGGCGCCGCCGACGGCGCCATCGCTGGGGCGCCAATCGGCGGGCCCCCTGTCAAGAGGTGGCGGCGCACGAGACGGCGACGCTGACGTTCCTCTGCCAGCGGGGCTGTCTTCTCTGAGCTCGCGCTGCGGCGTGGCGGGGTCGCGCCTCCACCTGGCCTCGCGCCGCCCGCATCTTGCGAAGAGGTCGTGCCGGTTGCCGGACCTGGCGACTGCCGGCGAGGCCCAGTCCTCCACCGCGAGGTCGCACCGCTCAGGTGTGACCCGCGCCGCCCGGGCCGCCGCGGGCGCCGCCCCCGCGCGGGCCCCCGGATACCTCGCCGTTTCTAGGGCCTTCCCGGCTTGGGTCCGGGGAGCGCGCCGCGTCGCTGATGCATCGACGGCGCGCGGGCGACGCTCGAATCTCAACCGCGATGCATCCTCGATGCATCTCGGGTGCATCGCGGATGCGCGCCAATGTGCGCATCGACAGAATGATCTGCAAACTGGTGAATGATTCACCAGGAGCACGAAGCCACGGATGGGGGTTGAATCTGCGGATCGATGGATGACTGCGCGGATCGAGTTTTGAATCCGCGGATCGAGAAATAATCTTCGGATCAAACAGCGCGGATTGAAGCTGTCGCGGGTTTGATCAGCCATGGTCCGCGGGCGGATGGAACATGAATCCGCGGATCGAGACACTAACCCGCGGATCGACATTGAACCTGCAAAACGAAACTGCTGTCCTCGGATCGGCAACGGGGCCCTAGGACCCGCTCATATCCCCATTTCCATTGGGGAAAAATATCCAAGAATTTGTCGAGCAGGGTCTCCGTGCGCGCGGCGCTTTTTGTCAACGCATCGGTGGCGCATCGTTGCTGCGTCGCCCACGGGTCTCAACGCGCTCGGCGCGTTGCCCGTGCGTCGGCGATGCATCGGCGATGAGCGGCCTTCGTCTGGCCCCATCTACTTCGTCCGCATCTAGGGGGCCTGGGAGTCTCGCGCTGAAGGGCGCGCTCGCCGGCGCGCTCGTCGACGTCGAATGGGCGCGACGTCTTTGCCACTCCGCAGCGCGCGTCGCCCCGTGGACCGCGCGCGCGGTCGCCTGGGGCACGCGGCGCCCTCTGGCCAATGGCGGGCGCGGCGAGCCCGGCGCAGGCGCGAATGGGCCCCGGCCTTGGCGCGGCGAACCTGGAAGGGCCCCGCGCGGCACAAACTGAAGAGAGCGAGTGCGCGGGCCATCCCCGGAATGCATCGGGCCACTTCGGCCGCGAGGGGAGCGACGACTGGGGGATTCAACTGGTCGGGCGCTTCGAGAAAATTCGCGGGGCGCGCTGTTGGGCCCTGCCGGCCGCTGGCGATGTCGCTGCTGGCCGTGCTGACGCTGCCCTGCGACTAAAAAAACGCATGTTCTGTACCCTCATGTAAATGCATCGACGCTGTGGGCGCAGTTCCTCAGATGTCACGCGCCGCCTAGACGGTGCTGCCTGGGTTGCCATGCGCGCCGCATGTGGCCTGGGTGTGATAGCCCCCGATGCCAATGGCGTCGTTTTTTTGCGATGGCGCCGACGCTGGCTCCGACGACGCGGGCGACGGCGGCGGATGCGGTCAGCCGAACCAGCCAGGCGAGTGAATCACCTGCAGCCGCGGCGAAGTAAAGTCGACCGGTGGAGGAGTGACGGGATGCCCCCGCTCCCCGCTCTACGCATCGGCATCCGCCCCTCGCCAGAGGTCGCTTTCGCGAGCGCGGGGCGACCCCTGCGGCGGCGAAGAACGCGCCATCCTGGGACAGGTCTATCACTGCGCCAGGGTCCGTCAGATGCGAGCGACTGGCGATCGGCAAAACGTGCGATACTACATCTGATGCGCGGAACAGCGCCGGTGCTCCTCCAATCGGGCAGAGACCGCCCTATATGAGTCGAGGTCCACTCAACACTCGAACTGAAGCGGCGCCGGCCCGCGCTTCGCCCGTTGACGGGCCGCGTCGATGACCGAATGCTTGGCGCCCAATTCGATGTGCACCGCTTCGAATCCGGCGCGGTTGGTCAGCGAGCGAAGGATTCTCGGCGCGCGACGCGGCCGCTGACGCCCTATCGTCGACGGCGACCGGCAGGGGCCGCGACCGCGCGCGCTCGACGAAGCGATGGTCGCCGCCGTCGGCCCCGGTTGCTGCCGTGCTTCTGCGCGGGGCGCCCAGAAGCCCCAGCCCGCAGTCCGATCTGGTTGCAACCGTGGCGCTGGATCATGGAGTCGACTCTCCCGTGCCAAGTCGGCCCCGCCGTTCGGAGCCGTCGCCCGCGTGCGCCCCAGGGCTGGTTCGCGGCGCGCTGGCGACGAGGGCCGCGGCGCTGCCCTGGGTCTCCTGACCAGCGGCTGCCTCGGCGACGTCGCCGACGACGTCGCAGTCTTCTTCCTCGGCCTGCCCTCGCGCGTTCCCGCTCGGCGGCCGTTTGCTCGGCGAACGCGGCGCGGCAACTGCCGCCGCCGCTCGCCCGCTTTGAAAGTCCGCCGCTGTGCGTCGATCTCCCGCTGGCCCAGATCTCAGGGGCCCCTTGAACTGGGGCTGCCATGCGATCCCGCGCCCGGCGGCGGCTCGCCGATCGAGTGGCCCAGTGGCGTCGCCAGCGTTGGAGGCGATCTGTTCCTGGGGTCGAGCTGCTGCAAGGCCTCGCCCAATTTCCCGACGGTCAGCTCGCCGCCTAGGAGAGGGACGACGTTGCGCCTCGCCCCAATGGCCGATTGTCGCCGCCCCCTGGGGCCCCTGGCCTCCGGGCTCGTCTTCGCGACCCCGGTCTGCGTTTGATCCAATCTCGCGCGGCGCGGCCTCAATCCGCGGATGCCCAGCGCGCGGGCCCTCGCGCCATGGCCGGGCCGTCTGCTGATGCGATCGCAGTCTGTCTGCGACTTCTGCCGCCCTTCGACTGGCTCCTGCCCAGCGAGCCAGCGCGGCGCATCTTCTCGAGCGAGGCCTCCGCCCCTGCGTCTGAATCGCTTCTCTGCGCCCGCGCGCTGGCCGTTGCCCTCGGCGCCCCGCCGCCGCGCCATCGAGCAATCGATCGGAGCGACGCCGCCGCGGGCGCAAGGCACGCGCCGCCGCCAAGTCGCGACTGTCCGCCCCCGCTCGCCAAGCGCGCAGACATCTCGACTATCCAGCCTGAAGACACGCGCTGCAGGGCGGGGGCTCCGAATGACTTTGGAGCCTGCGTCCGCGGCCGGCCCGCGTCGTGGTCGAACTCTGTTTGCCCCCGTGCCAGCGGCCGCCGTCGCGCCCTCGCAAGTCGCATCGTCGCTGGCGGTCGCGTCTTGCGATCGGCGCGCCCCGGGCCCCGCCGCCACTTCAGCGCGCCGGCGGTCTAGGGGCGCCCAACTCCCCGTTCCCCCCGCGGGGGGGGCGGCCCCCCCCCCCCCCTGGGCCGAAGCGGGCGCGCTCGCTGGGCGTCGGAGGGCAGCGCTTGTCGATGCAGCGCATTTCCAATTTTGCCCACGGTTGGCCCAAGATGGCCTTGAGGACGGCCCCAGACATCAGAAGATGGCTCAGCGTTGCCTCCAACGTGCCTCGCGGGGCCTCAACGCCGCCCCATCGCTGCCTCAAGCGGCCGCGGGGCCTCCTCCCCGGGAGGCCCCGCAAATGCCAGGGCACGCCCCGAACTTACGAGACCCTCGATAGATGTCGTCTCGCCCTGCCGCTTCCGATGGGCTTCCGAAGCGCCGCGGCGAGAGGGCCCCGCGCGCAGCGCGACGGCTGGGGCGGCAGATGGGCGGGGCTAAATTAGGGCCACCCCTTTGCGTGGATGTCCTCCGCGGGGCCCCCAAGTAGCCCCCCCGGGCCCGAGCGCGGCCCCGAGAGGGCCCCAGCGGGGCCCCGAACGCTTGCCAGGCGGCCCCGGCAGGACCTGCAATGTTGCCAGGGAGGGCTGCCGCTGGGCCAATATCAAAAGAAAGGCAATGGGATATATGGTTGACTCGTGGGCTTAGTCGGGCAGTGCCCCGCCGCGCGCGCCCGCGCTTTTATGGTCAACGCCGCTCGCCTGGCCAACGTCGTTGGGCGGGCTGGCGGGGGCGCGGGGATCGCCCAATATTGCCTTCCATCAATGAACTGACCGACTGGCTCAAGGTTTTAGATGGCGCAGAGACGCTGCCGTCATTCGCCACCTACGTAAACGTTGAATAAGAGCGCGCGTCGCGATGCCATCGCAAATGCGCGCAATTCCGGCCGCGACCACGCCATGTTCATCTGGATGGCCATGGGCATGACCGACAACGTCTGCCACGGTCAGCCGCGCACGATGGCTGCGCTCTCGATTGGCCGTGCGTTCTACCTGCCCGTCGCGTCGGCCAGCTTGTCTGCCTGAGCTGCCTCGGTAAAGCTACCCTGTCAACGTGATGACAAGCCGAATAATGTCACCGTCTGCTGCCCGGCACCAGCTTTACCACCCCAATCTTCTCCGCAAGGATTTGCGCAGCGACGCTTGCCTCCTCTCGCGCGAACGGGCTTCGTCCTTCAGACTGGATTATGCCACTGGTATTCGTTCACGCGGTTGCAAGCAATGAGCTGGACGTCTTGCGCATCTGCTGACACTGTTGCAACCATTTGAGGCTCATGGGCAACGGTGGTTGGGCGTCGAAAGCTGTCTCTCCGTATCGTAAGATTGTGCTGTGTCAAACAAGCGGCAGCACAGGATGCCCTTTGCCCGAGGTGCCTGCCCACGTCATCGGGCCAGCCCAGAATCCTCCTGTGGACTGATGGCTAGAACAAAAACGTGTAAACTCTGGCGCGGAAGCAAAGACGACATATTCGACCACGTGCATGCGTCGTCCTTTGATGGCGATTAACATCCATGTTGCCCCGGTTGATGACAAGAGCTACGCTCTTGCGTGCCAGCAATCGCACTCGTGGTTTGGCCGGGGTCCTAAGCAATCTCTCGCCCGCAAAAGTGGAAATGATTCTAAGTGCGGTCTCCATACTGTGCGTCACATGGGCATTTCAAGCACTGCGGAACAGGCCGCTCGTTACCTGAACCAATCCTGGACAACTTTTGGGCCACCATCCAATGTAGCTGCCTGGAGATGATTGTCAACACGCGTGGCCAACACCGCTACCCATTTTCAATCAGCGCTCGATTTCTCAATAACTGAATCGTACAAATTGAAGCCCTCGGTCGTCTCAAACGAACGCACACCTTTCACTGCAACATTTGAACGTTCTTGACCTTGAACCTTAATGGCTTCGGGGCGCCAAGGGAAACCGAGAAGCTGGAGGGCAAGGCTGAGGAGGGAGGAGGAAAAGGAGACGAAAGAGGGCTGATGGGGAAGCAAAGAGGAGAGGTGCGGAGGCCTGAAAGGGGAAAAGGAATAGGGGGATGACGGAGGAGGGAACGCAGCAGCATTGCTGTGAGGGTCTGGTGTGCGTATGTTCCCCTGTGGCCTGCATGGAAGGCGGCCAGGGACTTCCAAGAGTCGCAAATGCGCTGCCGGTAGCGCGAGCGCTGGTCGTGGTCCAAGCGGGAGTGGTAGCAGTACCTGGGGACAGCCAAACACGCAGTGATACAGCATGCGGTTGCAATTAAAGCTCATGCTATAGGACATCCAGGGCACATGTCTCGTCAACGGAGCGCCCCATTTTGCCAGTAGGTAGTTGGACCCAGGGGCCAACTGGGAATAAGAACTTCTGTGGAACATCTGCGAGCAAACTTAACTCTTCTCACATCAGCCCTCTGAGCGGATGTGGCATGAAGAATTTGTTTCTTCCATCTTCCAATTACGGTTTTACCATTGTTCTTTTTGAATATACCCCCCTCCCCCACACAACCTGCGACGCTCTCGCCATCCCTGGGAAAAACATGCAGAAGGCAAATTGCACCATAATCTTGACCATGCGCAGACGGCACTCCCCGCGATCATGTTGCATTGGTTTCTGGTCGAGGCGGATGGGTGCCGCTGTACTGTCTGCTGTATACAATGCTTACACCCCTCCCCTTCGTCCCTGGCAACTCAATACGAAGTGCACGCTGCACCAAAGTCTGGATCATGCGCGGACGCCACGCGGTCACTTTACAGTCATGTTTGACAGGGGCGGTGCGGGGGGGCCAGCAGATTGCGTGCTGTGTGCGACGCCAGCACCACCTCAAGACGGCTCAAAGTCGGACCGAAAAAGCTCCCAGAGAGGCCCAAGAGGGCTCCAACGCGGCCCCAAGACCACCCCAGCATGGCCCCACGAGGCAGATGTTCTGCCTCCGAAGGGGGGCGCCAATTTCAACATCTCCATTTCTTGATCGACGGCCTCCAAGATACCCCCCCAAGAAAGTCGCAAAACCTCTTAGCGAGCCTCAGAAGGGCCCCGCGACAGCCCCAAGAGGGGCCACAAGGGGTCCACCATGCCTTCAAGCTGGCTCCAAGAGGCCTCCAAGAGGCTTCCCAGAGGCTCGATGAACGAAAGCTATGCGAAGGCAATCGTTGTTGACTCGTCGTCGTTGTCGTCGTCAACAGCCTCCTCCCTCATCTTTCTCGTTTCCTCATATGCCCACCTCCTCGGCATCCTGGTCTTTCTCCTCCTCATTCAGAAAACACTACCACCCAACCCCACAAACCACTTCATTCCAGTGTATGACCCCCGCCTCCCTGATCAAATCAACTCGCCAAGGCATCGTTGCTGGGTGGGTTGCTGGGGATATATTTTGTCGCAGCCGCAAGCGAGAGCGCAGGCGGCGAGTAACGGAACGGGCAGGCCGCGCGCGAACCTGATTGCCTAACGCGCCACCAAGCAGAGGCCTAGGCGGCACCTCAGATCACCGGGGCGGAGGGGGTGCGGGCAGCAGCTGCCAGGAACCAGGTCCAGGAGCGCGCACATGCAATTAGCCGACCGAGGTCGGGGCGCAGCCAAATGGCGCGGGAACGTGGCAGGAAAAGCCAGGAACGCCATCACGAAGGACCGCAGGCTGGTACGGCCATCACTCACTGACCAAGGAACCTGGGCATGGGAGTGGCGCCGCCGAGGTCGCACACTACGCTGACAAGTGGCCGCAGAGGGCGAGGACAAGACGCAGGATAAACCACACGAGTCCTCATGCACCCAGCCCCTGAAGTGGGCAGCTCGCTTGCCGTACGTACCAGGAGATAATGCTGCCACCAGTGGCCAGGATGACGTCACTGACAAGGAGCCAGCACGAGTGGTGCCACCGAAGTCGCACACTCGCTCCTGAGGCCACGCGCACTCCCGAACACAGACGCCGACGTATGAGGAGAACTGACCATGAACTGGGCAGGTTAACGCCTCAAGCACGTAGACGAGTGAACTCGAAAGCCGTACCACTGCCGTCAGAAGACCGTGGACGTAGTCAACACAGTCGGCAACGGCCAGGAGAGCACAGGGCTGCTGGGGATACGCGAAGCGTCAAGAATTCAATGTGCCTATGGTCCGCCACCGAGCCTGCAGCGTTGTGCATGCGCCTCGGTCGTGCTTTTTGTCTTGTTTTCTATGCTAGCTTCGCTTCTTGCGAGCACCACGGGGGGCCCGCTCCAAAGCCTCTTCTCTCCCCTCGAAGCGGCCGCCCGAGCGCGGCGGCAGACTCGCGCGGCGATGTCCCTGGATCATGGGATTCGTCGTCGCCCCGTGGTGGCGGCGCACAGATTGGGGTCGGGCAGGGGGGGGGCTCTCTGAGAAAGTCTGCGGGGATGCATCCTCAGACATTATCGCGCCGTAAAGAGCTCAGTGCGAGAATTCTGGCTATTGTCGACCCCGGGGGGGCCTCGCCCGGCTTCGATACAGTCAAGAAACGACTCAGGACGAAAAGCCGGTCCCCGGCAAAGGGTCGGGATTTCCAGGGACACTCAGGACGTCGCATGCCTGGGTCTGAGAAGAGATCAGCGCCCCGTGGAAGCTTCCCAGACGTCTTACTGGAAGGCAGGAGGGCGTCTCAGATTCGGGGGGGTCTGCGCTGGAGGCGGCGCTCTTCTGCGCGCCGGCAGTCCCTGAGGAGCGGGAGGGGAGACCAAGAGGGAGGGGGAGGAGGCCGAATCCCCCCTGCCCGCACCGCTGGAGTTTGGGGCGCGCTGCACCCGAGAGTCAGGATCACCGCCTTGCGCAGGTGCGCCTTCGTCGTGGGCGCCACGGAGATGTGCACGGGGCCGCCGGCGCTGGTGCCGACCGCGGCCGGCGCGGTGCCGCGCAGCCTGGAGTAGTGGGCCAGGAACCACTTGAACACACGAGCGGCTCGCGCCACGTCGCGCATCGACACCACGCTGCGCTCGCCACCGTTGACCTCTCGGACAAAGGACTGCGAATCGCACAGGAGCTTCTTGACCATCGAGATGAACACGTCGTAGTCAGCAAGGCTATCAGCCCCTCCGCCAGAGTGGAGGAGCTCCTTCCTCAGGATGGCGTTCACGTAGAGGTCCTCGGATTTCTCCGACAGAGCCCCGAAGTCACTCACGACATCGATGAGGCTCTCTGGCAGTGGGTGAACGCGGTAGACCAGGTGCCTCTCAGAGGGTAAGCTCGCCCCTTGCTCTCTCTACCAAGCCACACAAAGCAAGTCTAACCACATGATTTACTGTTTCTCCCTTCTGCTGATTGGTTTGGTATGGAGGGCGGTGGGGGTCCCCCAATCGGGGGCGGTCCGCTTTTCCCTCTGAACCTCATGGGATCCGCAAGGCCTGGCCCCTCACCGACGCCAGCGTGATGTTGGAAAACCAAGCCCACCTCCTCAAGCTCGCTGGACTTCCGCATCCTGTAGGGATTGCAGCAGGAGATGATGCGGATGTTGGGCGGAATGTGCTGGTTGCCGTACACGCGGTCGATAATGATCGTTTTGAAGAGCGCCATGCAATTTGCCGCGTTTATCTCGTCGAAGAAGACAAGCACGCGACTTTCTCCATGAGCCGCGCCTAATACTCCGTCCATGAAGTCTATAACCGCCTGATCTGTTATGCCTCCGTGCACGTTGAGAACCATGAGCTTGACGTCGAGAACGCTCGCAAGGAAAGTGACGAGGGCCGTTTTACCACATCCAGTTTCTCCCATAAGGATGATCGGCAGGCCGTATTTAAGGCGCTGCTGGATTGTCATCAACTTCAACAAATTGTCTGGAGTGATCACGTAGTCTTCCGGACTATCAAAGCGATTCTTCTTGGTCAAAATCTTGCCGCCCTCTGTCGCGCAAATCAGTGACACAGCGTCCTCGAAAGCGATATCGGTGTAATCCCGCTCGAGTTTCAGATCGTTCAAGTTTAAGGATGTTTGCAAATTGCGGTCGATGAAGGTATTCAAGAAGCCTCTCTGCAAGCTCATGATATTACACCCGATGATCGTCCCATGCTCATTTTTCTTGAACGTCGCGATCGGGTGCACACAAGTCTCCTCGGGGGGCTTTGGCGAACGAAGGCGGCGCGAGCACGTTCGAGGTGGCCCGTCCGCACGAAGCCGGTCGGGTGGCGGACCGCTGTGAGTACGGGGCCATTGCGTGGACACGACCTCTGACCTCGTCCGGCTGCGCGCAAGAATGACCCTGGGAAAGGGTGCCATTTGGTGCGCGGTTCTCGGAGGCCGAAATTGGCCCAAATCCAAGCGCGCGGGCCAGTGCGGGGGGGACCCCGTGGGCCCGCACCGATTTGTCACTCTGGCGAAACGTCAATCTTATGCGTAGCCGACTCGTACCCCTTTTGGGGGTGCGCAGCGGGGGTATGGGAAACAGTGTCCGCAACCGTCATGTATGATGTCCTACCCCTTCCCTCCCATCTATCACTATTGCGTAAACCCCCCCTCTACTCGTACAGTATGCTGTAGAACAAGGCAACGGTCAAAGAGAGAGAGCACGATACATGGCTTAACACGGTATAGCACGACATAGGATAACACTGCCGCAACGCATCGCGTCGAGAACGCGATTCACTTTGACAGCAAACTCGGAAGACATCGTACATGACACAGGACGGGAAATTCAAATGGACGGTTTCGGAATCGGGAAGCGCAAAATGAGATCAACGCTGCATCGGGAGCAAGATTTCAAAACACCGAAATTGCGGAAATGAAGCCCGCGCTGCAATTGGATCGCGATTTTGAGGGACTGGCAACGAAGTCAGCACTACAACAATGGGAACTTGATTTGGAAAGGCCAAAAACGAAAAAGCGGAGCCAACGGTGTAGCAAGAGCGCAATTCCGACAACAATTCCGAATGGAACAACAAATATCCATGATCAACCCCGCGGCATCCTGTGTAAACAAATAGCACGCGGAAGAGGCCAGGACACATCTCCGCCACCTTTTGGCGATAGAGGAAAGTCGGCTTCTCATGGTGTACTGCCGATGGGGAAAGCTTCTTAAAAAGGAGGCTGCTTCTTCAAAAGGCGCGGGCCTGCCATCCACAGGCAGTCAGTGCCCGCACTTGTTCAAAAACGTCCTCATTCTAAGGAATCCCCCCTTCCCCCATGCCCCCTTTTATGCGCGCGGCGGACCTCTCCTCCCCCTCCGCCTGGCCACTTTGCGAACACAGTCGTGAAGCGCCCTATGGCAGAGAGAAAAGGGAAAAGGTGTAGGAGGAGGACGAGGAGGAGGACAATGACAAGGACATGCGCATAAAAGGGGTTCAACGTTTAAACACATACGCCGGCGCCTTGCGCGCTTGAGGCAAAATCCCTTGCGATCGACGGCCCTGACTTCTCACTAGGGCCGGCAGAGGGCATACTCCGTAGCTCAAGGGGTGAGCTTCGAAATGGCCCCGTAAGAGAGGTTCGCTGCCATGCGTTTGCGAGTCCCTGCGGGTCAATGCAGGGGGAGCAGCTGCTGGCCCTTCCGCGTGCCCAAGGGGCGCGGACGCGCGGGCTTAGCAGCGCGCCGAAGCCGGGGGGGGGAGAAAACGACGACACGACAACTCAAAAGCAGGAGGGGGGAGGGTCGGGAGGCCCATGCTTCCCAAACTTTTACTCTAGGGGGCCTGATTGCCTTAATGCTTTTATTATATCCGATTCTCTCCTCTTTCGCTCGGTTCACTTCTCTCCTGCATCGAACTAGCCCATCGCTGTCGCAGGCACTGTCCTATCTGTACTCTGAGACCCTGTTGAAGTATTCCCCTGTTCCCCCTCGAAGTGTATGCGGGGTAAAGCATACTGGTAGTCGCGGTATGTTGTAGGTAGGGCCATCGAGGGTGCGCCTCGGTGGCCTTCGTGATGATCACTTTTGCACCCCCATTCGTCCTCCCGCAGTAATGTACCTGTCGGCACTCCAAAAACACTTCCCATGGCGATGCCAGTGCGAGCGCTCTGTGTTTGCCCGTCCTGTTCGCCTAGGGCAGCACTCCGATATAACATCGCTAATGCATCTCTTAGCCCTGACAGTGAACTCGTCCAGCTTGCCGAGAGTAGCACTCCGAGAAGACTTCGCAGATGCATCTCTTGCCTTTCCAATGGGCTCCGGCGGGCGCTCTCGCTGGTGGCCGCTGGAGGAGCTGGCCGCCGTCGTCTCCTCCGACTTGGGGTAGGAAAACTTGTCCTTGAAGATCTCGGTGCCAGCCGTCAGGGTCTGCCCGCTGTCTCGTAGCTTCTGACATTCTTTGGGGCCTTCGTGACTTTGCGGAGCCAGCTCGCGCCATCTCTCCACAGCGAAGGCCTTCCTCCCAGCCCTGTCACACGCGCCCGCAGGATACCTCGCGATGGGGTCGCGACCGCTAATCGCGTGCGTCGGCGGGGAGGACACGGGGATCAGCTCGAAAAGCTCCTCTGGGCTCATGTTCTGGGCGGCGTAGAAAAACTTGCAGTGGCGCTCCTTGGCGCCGTCGTCTAGCTGCCACGGCGGCCTTCCCGCTCCGAGCGCTTCCCAAGCATTCCCCAAATTGCGCCCCGCCACCATTGGCGGCCCACTGTTGAACGGGAGGAACTTCGACTTGCACGCGAGGTCTGGCCACCTCTCCCAGCCATCGCCGAGCGCGCCCTTCATCTTGCCCACGCACTCCTTCATGGGCTCATCTTCTGGGTGGCTCTTCTGCGCTTTGACGAGCTGCGACCTGCCCGCCTTGCGCCAGAACTACCATTTGTCCCCTCTAAAATAGGCGTTGGGGCCTTTCCACCACGACGTGTTCGGAAAGGCGAGCTCGCGCGAGCGGGCGCCCCTTCTGCGCGCGTTGAACAGCTGCATGCTGTCGCCCCCCATTGTCCACAAAATCCAACGCCTTGAAGTGCGCCCGCTGCTTCCCCACCATGCTCTTCGCCGTCTTGTAGCCGCCCATATCGTGCAGCCCTTGTTATTCCTCTAACATTTGTTATATAGAAACACCTTCAGTGCGTCTTCGCCGTTGACGTCCATGGCCATGACTTGTTGAGCATGATGTGGCACGCCACGGCGCATCGCGGAGCCTGTGTCCTGCCCGCTCCTGCTCTGCTAAAAAGGCTGCAAATATGCCCCCCCCCATTCATGTGGATGCCCTCCAGCAGCGCCTCTGCCATCTTCTGTGGCTTCTGCAGGGCCGACTTGTTCCTTAAATTGAAAGACGTTGTAGTTGGGCCTTCCTCTTCCGCCAGGAGCGCTTGCGCTGCTCTGATCTTCCCCCGCGGGTTGGCCTGCCCGCGCGGCTCCATGTGCTTTCCTCTTCTGTTATCGGAAGACCTGCTCTCTCGGAATATACCGGCCACTCCATATAGCGTCTTTTCTTCATCGCTCCATTCGCCCCACTCCTCCTGCCTCGGCCCCAGCTCGCAGTCGATGCGCGCCCTCTTCCATTGGCTGCCTTTGCCCCCTTGGTCCTTTTCATGACCAAGCCCATTTCTTGCGCGCCCCCTGCGGCTCTCGACCACCTTGTAGCGCCCGAGCCCTTCATTACACCGCCCGCAGGGCCATGGCTGGCAACTGCCCGCGACGGCCATGGGCGGCCGCCCGTGCTGCGCTCTCCGAGAAACCCTGCCAGTGCGCAGCGCTGCGCACCTGGGCCGCCGTTGAGCCAGATCAGCCTTGGGATCCGAATATGATCGATGGGGGTGGTAATGAATGTCTGATCTGTCCCGATACTCGCGCAGCACCTTGCACGCTGCCCCCCCCGCCCCCCCCCCCCCGCCCCGCTGACCGCGATCCGTCTCTGCATTGTGCGCGCGCTGTGCTGCGTGCAAAATACCCGGCCCGCCAGCTCTCAGCATCTGCCATGGATAGAAAGGAAGAGGGCATCGTGTCGTCATGGTAGATGATGTTGGTCACTGACAGGGGCGGGTGGACTGGTTGTTGCCAGGGGGGCCTCTCCCCAAGGCATTTCTCTGCGACTCCGCTTCCCGCCCTGCTCGAAATTTTAAGCCCATTTCTCATGCCCTGCCAGCTGTGGCAAAACGCCCAAATTTAGTAAGGCTTTCAACGCCCATGCTGACTGACTCCGCTTTTCGCTCATCATCTGAAAGATGTCTCTTCCTCTTCGACTGTGCGCTGTCGGGCGCGTCAGCAATGTCCAACTGCCCTTGGGGGGGGGCCCCTGGGCGGCCTCCTCAGCGCGCGATGCTGACGCCGTCGGAGGAACAATGGAAATGCTTGTCCGCGACAGCCGCGGCCTGGCACCCCGCCCCGGGATCTCTGCGCTCCGAGACGACCTCGCCAATGCAACTGCCCTTCCGTCCTCAGCGGCGCCGACGCTGCACTTCCCGCTCCGCCATCCTCTCCAGCTCCGACTTGGGCGCTGCCGACTGGGACTTCATGCCTCCCACGTTGACGATCAACGTTCCCGCTGCCGTCCTCAGGTTGCGGCCCGCGAACTGGTCCAGTTTCGCAGTGGCTTCTTCTGTCGTGACCTTCGGGGGCACTGCCCTGACGTTGGGGACTCGTTGATGCCTATATGGATCTGTCCCGGGCCCTCCTCCCAGAACTCCTGCTCGTCCTCGTTCGGGTTTATGTTCTTGTTGTTGCGTGCCTTGTTGCCCTCGGTGACCTTGCGCGTCGCGATCGTCTCTGCGGCCATGGCCTGGCCGCGCTCGCTGTCGTCCTCCGACAGCTTCAGGAAGTCGTTCAGAGTGTCATTTGCCCGATCTATCGGCGCCGCCATTGCTGCTGGATCTGCTGTCTGCCAATCCGACGCCATCTCCTGGGCGCCTTCCGCGAGCGCCGCCCCCGCGCGGGGAGGCGGAGGGGGGGGGGGAGGGGATGGGGGGGAGGATGAGGAGAGGAGAGGAGGAGGAGGAGGAGGAGGGGAGGAGGAGGAGGAGAGGAGGAGGAGGAGGAGGAGGAGGAGGAGGAGGGAGGAGGAGGAGGAGGGGGAGGAGGAGGAGGGGGTGGAGGGGAAGGGGGAGCGAGCGAGCGACCCCAGGGTGGATCCTTGCCCGGCGGCCGCGCAACCGCTGGCGGCGGGGCGCGCGCTCCCGCCTCTCAGGGGGCCCAGCGC